ATTTCTCCATTTCACCGATACATTCACTCAGCTCAAGCTCAGGCGGTTGATTCCGAGGATTCCAAGCAAGAGGAAGAGAGAATGCAAAGAGAGAGAGAGCTGAGGTGAGATGGTCTAAGATCGAAGGTTTGTGTGTAGGGTTGTCTCGGTGGAGGAGAGAGCTGAGGTGAGATGGTCTGAGATCGAAGGTTTGTGTGTAGGGTTGTCTCGATGGAGGAGAGAGTGCAGAGAGAGAGAGCTGAGGTGAGATGGTATGAGATCGAAGGTTTGTGTGTGGGGTTGTCTCGGTGGAGAAGAGAGTGCAGAGAGAGAGAGCTGAGGTGAGATAGTCTGAGATCGAAGGTTTGTGTGTAGGGTTGTCTCGGTGGAGGAGAGAGTGGAGAGAGAGAAAGAGAGTTGAGAGTTTTCGAGAAAGTTCGAGAGTGTAGAGAGAAAAGAAGACATAGGGATAAGGGAAATGGGGTGTGGGCCCCACGGACACACAAAATCCTCACATAAAATAATAATATTAAATAAAATATCATAATACTAATATAGTATTATACAATTTTTTGTCATTTCACACAGTCACAGCTGTTTTACATAAAAGTTTACCAAAATACTATCATACAGTTTTTTTTTTCCAAAAGCACTTTTCAAAAAAGTTTACCAAACATTTTGCTGCTTTATTTCACAATTTGTTTATCATGTGGGCAACGAAGGTAACGAATATGAGAGCTAGGATTAGATGCGATCACAATAAGATAGATTATTGTAGTCATGATCGGCATTTGAAACCAAGGAATTGAATCTGCAAACACAAACCCAGCATCCACAAAAACTAGCTGCGAAATCGTCAACTATATTTCCCTCTATAAATGTTCAATATCGTTAAACTATTTTATCAGTCACACTGTCATCGCTACGGTAAAAGTTAACTAGTTATGGCTGGTGTAGCTCCACCTTCTGATTAATGATTTGATTGATCTCGAAACCATCTTCTAAAGTGCCAAAAGTTATGACCAGTTCCTGCTATGCTCACTGCGGAAGCGGAGGAGGAGGCGCATGGGATTTCGCATATCTGAGCCAAGTAAAAATTCCGACAGCAAAGATTATCCAACCACATACGTCATACTTGAGATTGATGCCCTTGTTTTTCTTTGTAGTCTGCAGAGCAAGGGAGAGGGAAACTGTTGAAACTCAGAACTCAGAGAGAGAGAAACAGTTATAGAGAGAGAAAGAGGAATGTAGAGAGAGAAAGTTAAATACAATTGTGATTCTTAGATTACTTCATCAGAACCATACATCAAGTATATATACATAGATAATGTCAGCTCAGTATAATACAAATAACTAAGACTACACATCACAAGCTTAACAGCTAAGTAAGGATCTAATCAGGGGACATATTGCTACTCTTAACACACCCCCTCAAGCTGAAGGAAGGTGATCGAACTGAGAGCTTGGAAGAAAGAGCAGCAAAGCGATCAGCAGACAAAGGCTTGGTAAAAATGTCAGCAATTTGAAGAAGAGTAGCAACATGTTGGACACCAATATGACCAAGTAAAATTTTCTCTCAGATGTAGTGGTAGTCTATTTCAACATGCTTGGTTCGAGCATGAAAAACAGGATTAAAAGCAAGAGCAATGGCACTTTGGTTATCACAGTAGATGATCGGTTTCCTGAGCAAATGAAAGAATATATCTTGCAAAATCTTGCACACCCAGGTTATCTCAGCAGTAGTGTTCGCAAGAGAGCGATACTCAGCCTCTGTTGAGGATCTTGCAACAGTGGGTTGTTTCTTAGCACTCCAAGAGATGAGATTAGGACCTAAGAACACACAGTAGCCACTGGTGGATCGTCGATCCACAGGACAACCTGTCCAATAGGCATCAGACCAAGCAGTGAGACATTGAGTTCCTTTAGTGAACCAGATTCCGGAATCAACAGTACCCTTGAGATATCTCAAGATGCGTTTAACTGCTGCAGATGAATGGTGCGTGGAGAATGCATATACTAACAAACTTGATTGACAACAAAGGCTAAATCAGGCCGTGTCCAAGTTAGATATTGTAAAGCACCAACTGTGGACCGATAATGAGTGGGATCAGATAAAAGTGTGCCTGAGTGATCCAGTTTGGAAGTGGACACAGGTGTGGCACAATGTTTAGCCCTAAGCATATCTGTCTTTTGTAGCAAGTCTAAATCATACTTAGATTGATGCATAAGTAAGCCATTGGCTGATTTGTGAACTTCAATACCCAAAAAATAATGAATATCACCGAGATCCTTAACAGGGAACAAAGCTTGGAGATTGGAGATGAGAGATTGACACTCAGTAGGTGAACTGCCAGTGATGATTATATCATCAACATAAACCAATATAAAAGTAATGGAAGCATCCTTTTTAATAAAGAGACTGCTATCGGAGTAGGAGGACTGAAATCCCAGAGAATGAATGGCATTGTAGAAGGCTTCATACCAAGCTTTAAGAGCCTGTTTAAGACCATAGAGTGATTTCCTAAGCTTGCAGACATTATGAGGTTTAGAAAAGTCGACAAACCCAAGGGGCTCAATCATATAAACATTTTCCTTTAAATGACCATGAAGGAAGGCATTACTGACATCCAATTGATGTATAAACCAATCATAGTGAACAGCAAGGGAGAGTAAGATCCGGATAGTGGTAGGCTTGGCAACTGGACTAAAGGTTTCTGAGAAATCCAAGCATTCCTGTTGATGAAAGCCCTTGGCGACAAGTCTGGCCTTGTACCTTTCAATTGTACTATCTGGTTTGTGTTTGACTTTAAACACCCATTTGCAGCCGATAAGGTTATAATTGGAATTATGAGGTACCAATTCCCAAGTTCCAATAGACTGCAAAGCTTGAAATTCAGATTGCATAGCTTCCATCCAATGAGAGTGCTTAGATGCTTGAAGAAAAGTTGATGAAGTAGGAGGCAACTTGGTAAGAGGGTCAATGGAAGATAGAAGTTTATGTTTAGTAGCAGTGAACACTTTAGGTTTATGAATGCATGCCTTTGCTCTTGTAATCATGGGATGATGATTGACAAGAATGGGAGGATGAGAGGGGGATGACTGAGATGAGATTGGTAGGGATAAAGCAAGAGGAGATGCTGTTGTGCTAGAAGATATAGCAGAAGATGAGAGGGGCTCAGAATTTGAAGGTGGAGGTTGGGATGGTTTCTCAGAATGTAACACTGGCAGTGGAAGAGAAAGGGAGAGAGGAGAACTGGATTGCTGCGGTGAACATGGTTGTGAAGATGACACCAACGTAGAGAAATGTTTGTAAGGAAATAGAGACTCATCAAATACAACATGTCTTGAGATATAGAGGCGATTGGTGAGAGGATCCAGACACCGATAACCACTATGATTCAAGCTGTAACCCAGAAAAACACACTGTTTACTCTTTGAGTCCAATTTGTCACGCGAATAAGGCTGTAACCATGGATAGCAAGCACATCCAAAAGTCTTCAGTGTGTGATACTTAGAGGAAGCATGAAACACAAGTTCCCAAGGATTGACCATTGAAGACTGAGAAGGCAATCGATTAATGAGATAGATGGCAGTTTGAAAAGCTTCAACCCAAAATTTGGCAGGTAAACCACTCTGAGATAACAATGTTTGACCCATTTCAACAACATGTCTATGCTTGCGCTCAGCACACCTATTTTGTTCAGGAGTGTGAGGGCAACTCAACTGATGGGTGATGCCTTGATCATTAAGAAAACCTTGGAGTGATTTATTCAAAAACTCACCCCCTGAATCTAACCTTATACTCTGCACTTTGAAGTCAAGAAGTGTTTGAATCTTTAAAAGAAATGTCTTGAGAGTATAGAAAACATCTGACTTGAAATAGAAAGGATAAAGCCAACTATATTTAGTAAAATCATCCACTATTATTAGATAGAATCTGTAACTAGTACAAGAAGATGAGGGCGATGAACCCCATACATCCATGTGAAGAAGCTGAAGTGGTCTAGTGGAAGTACAAGGTAAAGATGAAAAAGGAAGCCTAAAAGCTTTCCCAAATTGACATGCAATACACACTGACAAGTTATTAACAGACCCAATTACAGGGAGATTATTCTTATGAACAACAGAATGTAAAACTCCCATATAAGGATGTCCAAGTCTGCGATGCCAGATATGAATGTCAGCCTTGGCAATCATCAAAGCTGTTGGAAAGATTGCAATTCCAGAGACACCATTAGAAGCATTCCAGTAGAAGGGGTACAAACCTCCTTCACTGAGGCCCTGGAAAAGCATCTTCCCAGTTCTTAGGTCCTTGACATAGAACCCAAAAGGATCAAATGTCAGAGAACACCAATTGTCATAGACGAATTTGTAAACAGATAGCAAGTTATGAGAAGCCTGAGGAACTAAAAGAACATCATTCAAACGAAAAGAGGCATGTTTGGTACGGATGAGAGCAGAACCATTATGAGAGATACACAGACCTTTACCATCTCCAACAAAAAGTTGATCACTTCCAGCATAGGGAATGGCAGAATTGAGTGTTGAGGGATCAGGTGTGACATAATGAGATACACCGATATCAGTAAGCCAATAGCTAGGAGGTGCAGAAGAAGTCATGGCAGACATTGATGTGGGAGCTTGAGTGAATGAATTTGCCAAAGAGGAGGCAAATTGAGAGAGACGATTACATGTCGGAGCTTAGTGGCCATATTGAAGGCATAACTGGCATTGCACAGAACGATTACCAAAATGTTGGCCAGAAAGTGAGGATTGACCAAAATTTTGACGAGTAGGACCAGCACCAAGAAGACCACTAGACGTGTTGTTGTGCCAGTTGTTAGATTTGTTGCCCTCAGAATTGCGATTCTGATTAGATCGATTACGATTTCGATATCGAAAATTGTTGTTCGAGGTACCTCTGGTCGAATTGACTCCAGAATTTGTGGATTGAGCAGCATAAGCATGAAATGGTGTAGTAGAGGAGGAAGAAGCTCTGGTTTTGCGTTTCTGGAGCGAAATTTCTTTACTCAATAGAAGTCCATAAAGTTCATCATCAGTCACAGATTCAGTGCGAGTCTCAATAGAATCAACAAATGACTCATATTCATCACGAAGTCCAGATAAGATGTAGGCCACAAGATCAGATTCAGACAAAGGTTCACCAGCAGCAGCAAGTTTATCAGAAATATCTTTAATGGAATGCAGAAAGTCAATCATGGAAGAATCACCTTTCTGAATCGTTTGGATCTTCGATCGAAGACTATGAGCATGAGTGCGAGAAGCACCAGAAAAACGTTGCTCAAGAGATTGCCAAAGAGAGCGAGAGTCTGCCATGCCAATAGTCAAGGGAAGAAGGTCTTCGGATAGTGTAGAGTTGATCCAAATAGTAAGGATCTGATCACGCTCGCACCATAGCTCAAACGAATCCTTGAGTACACAATCACCAGAGGAATTGCGAACAAACTTAGGAGGACACAGATCCACGCCATTGACGAGGCCAAGAAGCTTGAAGCGCTTCAGAACAGGGATGAAGAGACTGCGCCAAGTGATATAATTCTGATGATTAAGTTTTGTCGGAACCATGCCAACAACATTGGCAATGGAAATTGATCCAATCGACATGATCGAAGGGTTGGAGACGTCACTGTGAGGGAGATTTGGGGTAAAAGTAGGGTTTGTAGGAGGCAGAGGAGAATCGGAGGAATTCGAAACAGCCGACATATCAAGATTTGTAGAAAGAAAAGAAGAAGTCAGAGAGGCAGCGACCTGTTTGGGAGGTAAGAAAATTCAAGAAAACCCTAGAAGAGAAGCGAAGGATCGGAGGCGGTTAGACAATGGTGATGATACTATGTTGAAACTCAGAACTCAGAGAGAGAAAAACAGTTATAAAGAGAAAAGGAGGAATGTAGAGAGAGAAAGGTAAATACAATTGTGATTCTTAGATTACTTCATCAGAACCATACATCAAGTATATATACATAGATAATGCCAGCTCAGTATAATACAAATAACTAAGACTACACATCACAAGCTTAACAACTAAGTAAGGATCTAATCAGGGGACATATTGCTACTCCTAACAGAAACAAGGTAACAATCCGTCACCATATAGAGTGTAAATAAAAAACAAAAGATACAAGGACCCTGCTGTAAATCGTTGGCAAAGCTTAATATCTTTTAGTAAATAAAACGCGAATACAAAAGAACAAGGGTATCAGAAAAAGAGAACCATGAGACGGAAAAATCACCTTTCCACCAATTGAAGCAGAAGGTCCAGCTTCAGCTCCAGCTCCAGCAGTAGCCTCCATCCCCAGTTGACCTAAACCATGCTTGCGCAAATCTGAGTACAGTTGCGGCCCCTATAAACACATTAATGAGTAACTTTGTGATTTAAGTCTAACATTCATAAGCTGATAGAACAGATAAAACAGTTTCAGTTCTAGAAATATTATAATCAGGAGCAACCGACTTCTCAATAAACCAACAATTGAAATTTCTATGCATGTCTTGGTACCGCAAAATGGATGCCAACACAGAATTTCAGAAACAAAACCAAGCAAGGAGACCAAGTTAGAGAGCAGTGCACCTTAGCAGCCACTTCGAAAGACTTGCGATACAGATCATTTCCCGGCTCCTGCAAAAAGAACATAAAATACTCACTACACATCAAAAGTTGAAAAACAGTACAGTCTCTTTGAAATTTTTCAGGGGAAGTACCTCATTTAGTGCCTTCTGGAAGCACTGAGACGCCTTTTCGAAATAAACCCTTGCTTCATTCTGGTCCAGAGCAGAAAATGCGTGAGCAGTTTGAGCATTTCCCAGACACCAGAGAGCATCATGTTTCCTAGGATTAATCAACAATGCCTCCTCCAGCTTCGAAATAGCATCTGGGCAAACAAACACAAACCCGCATTCCCAAATTCGAAACTCTCAAATTACTAAATGAAAACACAGTTCCAAATTTCAAATTACTACATGGAGAATTCCAACATCTAACATAATTAATCCAAAACAAAAGTTGGCACCTTGAGTCATCTTCTTTGATTTCAAAACATTATGAAACTGGGAAAGCTCTAGCAGAGCACCAGCCCACCTCGTCAAGTTCTGCAATTAATACAAAAAACCCAGATCAAAATTTAACTTCTTTTCTTAAAAAAAATAAAAAATTAGAATGGTGGCAATATATATGAACATAGGCAACAAGAGGGTGTAAAACCATTTTGTGAATGACAATGAATTATGCCGAGGATAATTGAGGGAATAGTTGACTTGACAATCAAGTTAATGAAATCTCTAGGACTCTCGGTACCTTAAGGAAATAAACATATTGGAGTCCTAATTACATGCAATCAATTAAGGGCTTTTATTAAGTAAATACAAGGAATAAGAGTCATGATGGGACTATAATTGATGAGATATGATTTGGGTTGATATCTTTTCCGATAATAGGGAGGAATTGATTGAAACCCTAGCTATATAACCTAGGAGCAGTTCCTGCTTCCATACCGATAGAAACTCACGAAAACTATAAGCCTATTTTGATAGTAGAGTTCATTGAGAGGTACTGGAAGTAGAAGACTACTTCTACTTTGTTCGCAAGGATCAATGACTTCACCTTCATAATCATGTCTTCCGAATTCTACAGATAAGTTTAATATAATTAGTCGATCTCTATTTCATATTGATTTGATTTATTCGTGATCCTAATGCCTTGTTGTTGTGATTTCAGAATATGTCTTACATGTGGTATCAGAGCCACACAACAAGCTTAGGGTTCGAATTAAAGGTAATTGTTTGATTATAGAATATTGTTTTGGTTGGCTGATTTCTATCATTCTATCCTATGAAATCAGTTAACATGCTTCCGCGATTCTGAATTTTGTATCAATTAATTTTTTCGTAAGTTTATTATGTTTATATTGTACAGAAAAATAAAAGTGTGTGTATATATATATACACACACATATAATCAAAGTCACTATTGTTCTAGTACTTCACCATTAAAAGAAAACTTCTTTTCAAATTGCAATATGACATGGTTTCTTTTCGAATTGCTTGAAATTTTGTAAACTAAGTGCAGGGTTTTGATGGCGTTTGACCAAACCTAATGTTGGATGATAATTGGATTTATTATATAATCCTCTTATGATTGATTTAGTTGCGATAATTCTATTTCATTATTATTAATAAAAAAAAAAGGTGAGATAGGCCGTTGAAACAGTACGGGGTCTTCTCCCTTGCGTGTGAAGTCTTTAGCTCTCTTGCAAAACAGCTCAATAGCGGCTTTTGGATCTATTTGGTGTTTTCCGGTAAGAATTCTCTCCGGAAAGGTATGAAATCATACAATTTAATCTACCTAATTTGGTTGAGTTAAAATTAAGCTTTTGGTTTCAACTAAATTGATCAAGATATTGTTGATTCTGGGCAATCAACCTTTATTTTCTTATTTATTTTTCCATCTCAAAATTGATTAAGTTGAGAATTTATGCTTCCGCTTATTACGTTGCAAAATATAGCCTTTAGAAAAAAAATTTGGTTAGTTTGCTTGTATTTTGGGCTGTTCTCTGTTACGATTCTGTCAAATTATTAAATTAACCCTTCCAGATGTGAGTTTTCTGGATGAATATTGTATTGGATTTCATGCTTTCATGATTTAAAATTTGGATTTAGCCTTGTTAATTAACATGTTCTAAAAGGCATTTCCAATTTGTTTGTTTTCTGATGAACCGATAATGGTGAAACTATTTGGCAACTTACGTATATATGAACAAATTATTGTATTATGAAGAATTGCTTGCTGTCATAATTTTGATGTGTGGTTAATTACATTATTATGAATTGCATGAATTGCTTTCAGACGGTTCGTATTAGGTTTTCAACTTTTTAATAAATTGATTCAATTGTGGTGTGAATTATTTATTGCCTAAACTTTTGTCAAAATTAATCGTGCTACATTATAGTCTTTTCAAACTATAATATTATAGTGGTATGACTCCATTAAAGTCTCATTAAAAGGAAACCCATTCATTTCAATAACCTGGGCTTGATAGACTTCCATAACTCCAAATATTATGAAATTCGGTCATTTCGTAATATTAAATGGATTGTAGACGCTGGTATTTTTTCAAGTTTTTTGGACAAGAAATGGATTTATGGTAAATTTTTAAGTGTGATACCATGTTGCTGGAATTCTGCAGACTTCTGCAGAATAATCTGTTTGTGATATTATTTTGATATATCAATGTAACTCATAAATTCATGAAATTTTAGTATGATATACATTGAGATGTTTATTTGAAGTATGGAAATTTTCACCAGCATTGGTCTGAAAATGAGTTACTGGTGAATTTTTAATCTAGGGACTGTACTGCAAATTTACTCAACTTCTGCAGCACATTTCATTTCGATTTTAATTTTACCCCACTTTTAAGATTGAAAAAATAATGGAACTTTGGGTGACAATAAATTTATATGTCTACTTCATTTCTGAAAATTTTCATGCATATTGGAGAAAAATTATAGTTTTGGTGAATTATTTAGTCTCCGGTATGTACTGCAGAATTTTTTCCGTTTGCAGCATATCCCATTTATAATTTTCTTTTAGTACACTTGTAAAGTCTCAAAAATTATGGAATTATGGGAATTACCAGCTTTATATGTTTGATTTATGTCTGAAAAATTTCTTGCATATCGGATAAACTATGAATATTTGGTGAATTTGTAATCTCAAGTCTGTAATGAACATTTTCTGCAGTTTCTAAAGCACTTTTCTTTTCGAATTCATTTTGGCTTGCTTAAAAATTTTAAAAAATCATGAAATTTTGAGAAATAGTAGCCATATATGTCTAGTGCATACCTAAAAATTTTCATGACAATCTAAAGAGAATTGAGTGTTTGGTGAATTTTCAAACTAAAATAGTACTGCTGAATTTTTTGGTACTGCAAAACTAGTTTTGTTATGTGATATTGTTTCATTGATTTGTGCACATCTATTGGTACCGGTTATTATACAAGTTTATGGTTCCAATATGTCCTTATTTTATGCAAATTATCAACACTAATGAATTTTATAGACAGCACTGATTAAATTTTGATTTAAAGATGTATTGGTTTGTTTTGCTTAAACCAATGTTTTGTTTGGTCATCAATTCTGATTA